GTGTGTGGGATGGGATGGGAAGAAGCACCGAGGCGGTGGAGGAGGCTGGTTCCTCTCGCCCATGGGAGAAACATGCTTACTAGTCAGGGAGCAAATGAGGTTGAGCCCATGGGGCATGAAGTCCGTAGGGGGTGAGAAGATCAAACAGTAGGACCGTGAGCAGGAAGCAGGGCCTCGGCGAAATACATTTGTTCAGTAACCCTTGGCTTTAAACCTCTTTACACATCATTTTAAAGTACATTATTCAGAATCAGGCCACAAAGTGGCCTAGAAGAAACTAGAGCCAAGAACGAGAAAGAACAAAGGTACATCCAGAGCAAATACTCGGTCTGATGAAATCTTTGTGGGGGAAGCATCCGGCCAGCTAGTTAGGAAGCTTGAGAGAACGTGGGCTGGTGCAGATCTGTATTTTGATTTTCTACCAGACTCTTGGTGATGTACTTTTTTCATGTGTGGCTGGTTCATTTAAAATTTTTATGTATTTGTTTTATCATGGTAAAATAGACATAACGTACAACTTACCGTTTTAATTATTTTCAAGTGTGGAGTTGAGTGGCATTAAGGACATTCACATTGCTGTGTAACCATCACCACACTCATCTCCAGGACCTACTCTTCATTCCACCCTGAAGCCCCGTACCCCTTAAACATTAACCTTCCGTTCCCCTCTCCACCCCAGCCCCTGGTGACCACTCTTCTACCTTCTGTCTCTGTGTATCTGGTGGCTTTAGGTGCCTCATCGAGGTAGACGCGTGCAATGTCTGACCTTTAGTGTAGGGCTGTTTCGCCTGGCGTAATGTTTGTCAGGGTTCATCCATGTCGTGGTGCTATACTTTTACTTCTAAAATAGGAACATTTTAATTATGCTGAGCTTTTGTTTTTTTCTCCCTCAGGCAGTTTCTTAGGCTGAGGTGAACTGGAAGACACACGAAGCACGCGTTGGAGGAGAAGGGTGTGTGGCATCCACAGGAGGGACAGGAAACTGAGGTAGCTAAAACTGGGACCCCACTTTGGAGGCAGAGTTGGAGACTGAGGACCAGGCCTAGCACTGGGATGTGGGCAGCAACTCACTGCACCACAAGGCCGAGGCCAGTGGGGCAAGGCTAGGATGCTGGACTGGGGCAGAGGAATCAGACAGGAAGGACCCCGAATCCTGTGAGCCCCAGAGTCCTCGTGAATATGCAGGTGACGCTAGATTCAGGAAGGTGGAGGGAAAGACTCCAGTTAGTGACTCAGGTGCCAAGGAGGGAGAGCCACTCCGGCTGGTTGATGTAGGCAAGTTTTCATGCAAAAAGATAGTATATAAAGTGGGTAGCATTTGGACAGGCAGAGAGAACTCAGGTGGTGATCTACTCAGAGGAAGTGGCATTAAGAGAGAGGTGGAAACTGTTAGATGCTTTTGGATCTGAATAGACCAGTCTGGCTGAATCTGTAGGTTTGTATGCAATGCAGAAGGAGATAGGAGTAGGCTGATGGTATCGGTTTGCAGAGTGCAGTTATTGCCAGATAAATGGTTAAAATTATTTTGTAAGCAATGGACATTATCATAAAAGGAGCCAGCTTTATTCTTTCCTTCGCCTTGACTTCTAAGCCTTAATCTTGACCTTAATGAGAACAGTTAGTATACTTTCCCTTATAGTAGGTTGGGAAATGTCTGTATCTCCTATGAAAATATAAACTGCCTGAAGGCAGAGCTGTTAGATTCACGCTCGTGTCCCTCAGAGTGTAAGCACAACGTCCTGAACTTCTTAGTTCCTCAGTAAGCATCCTTTGAATGCTATGGTATTAGATCAGGGGTTTTAGATGGGAGAATGGGGTGAAATGGTCAAGGCTATAATTTAGGAAGACTAATCTGATATGAATGAGTAGGGAAAAGGGAGGCAGTTGACGAGTGGGGGAGTTATTCCAACGTTGAGGTGATGAGGTAACCAAAGGCATTTCTCTCCTAGGCCTGGACGAGATGGAAGAATTTGAAGAGAAACCTGACACCAGATTACCTGTCTTTACATGCCAGTAGTCTCTCAGTGGCAGCTCACAAAGGCTAGGAAGAGAGAAAGAAAGAAAGAAAGAAACTCTGAGGAATGAATCACCCTTCTGCATATTTTCTCCTGTGGAATCCCGAACAAGTTACTTAACATAAGGGCAACAAACATAATTTCTTTTTCTTCGAATCACAGAAGCTGGTGCTTCTATAAAAAATGATATCTATATTAGTCATAAAGCAGACGTAATTTAGCTGTTTTCATTTTCTGTTTGGACTTGTCTGACTAGTTGGTGGCCTCATGGGTTCTCTATAAATGTGTTTTCTACTATTTGTGAACAGTAGAAACAGTAGGAGGAGCCCAGTTTCTACCTCTATATCTCTGTACTACATATCTATATCTATATCTATCTATATCTCTCTCATCTATGTCTATATCGATCTACATATGTCTTCTATATCTATAGAGCTGTTCTATATTATATGCTGGAACTTCTGCTGTGGCTCCCTGGCCAGGCGTCCAGCCTCCTTCTCATAGTATACAACTCCAGCCTCCCACAACCCTGGGCCCTTTGTGCCGGAGAGATCACAATTAGCCATGTGTGATAACCCCACATCCTGTCCCAGTTCCACATTGGAGAAGGTCCCCTCCCCTCCCCTGGTGACAACTTTCGCCTTCTCTCCTCCACACTCCTCTGGGGGATGAAGCTGAAACCCCTCCCGTCCCCTCGAACGCCAAGCTACTCCCTTCCCTCCCGGCGAGGAAGGCAGTCGGCCTTTAGGAAGCAGGGCCTCTTGCCTGCAGTGGGGCGTGAGGTGGGAGGGGATTCTTTGTCCTTCTTAGTGAGTCTAGAGCGATAATAACAACATCGACAACAATAATAAAATAACCGTAACCACCACCACCATCTCAAAAGAGTCAGTTAGTTTTGTTTTTTCTTATTAACTCATCTCATTGTATAGCACATACTCTAATCCAGGGGATTTGAATACGTACTCAGAGTGTGGGGGGTTAAATGTGATTTTCATGCAGTGGACTCAAATAGAAACAATTATTTTATGACTTGCTTAGGCAAAGGTTGGTTAATCTTAGAGTTTGATCAACCTAATGGAATCTGAAGAGGAGGAAGCCAGCGAGGGAGAAATTTCCCGTCAGTCTTTAGCACTCTTGAATCTAAATGGTCTGGTCCGGTTGGCAGGTATATTGTTTTTGTGGAAAAGGGTGCACCCGTGATCAGCATCTTCACAACCTTGGAGATCACTCCCCCCCGCTCCTTGTCCCTGTATCTTCCCTCCAGGTCAGTTCCAAACCCTGCGTTGTTGACATCTTATCATGGTGGTGAGGCAGCCCTGAGAAGTCTCACCTAAGCCGCCGGTTAGCCTCTCTAACTAAGTAGCATGTTCATCTTACCTAATTTAGTTATATCCAAGATCAAGAAAGACCTGTTTAGATTAAGATGACTACAGAAAAAAATACATCTACTTGTGGTAGGTTCTTGTTTTCCCAGTGTGTGGTGGTCCATTTTGGTGAGATAGATAGTTGTTTTATCCAGAAAATGGAAATGTTCAACTGTTCATATGTATATCTATGTCTATGTCAATGTCTGTGTCTGTGTCTGTGTCTATATCTCTATAGCTATATATCTCTATCTCTCTATCTTTATCTCTCTATCTCTATATAATTTATCTTATCTATATATATATCTATGTCTATGTCTGTGTCTATGTCTATGTCTATCTCTATAGCTATATATCTCTATCACTATACAATTTATCTTATCTATATCTATATCTGTCTCTGTCTCTGTGTCTATCTCTATCTCTATAGCTATATATCTCTATCTATCTTTCTATCTCTATCTCTATATCTCTATACAGTTTATCTGTATCTATGTCTATGTCTATGTTTATATCTATATCTATATCTATCACCTATCATCTATCTATATAATCTATATCTATACATCTATATATCTATGTCTATATCTATCTACATATGTATTCTATATCTATAGAACTATTCTGTATTATATGCTAGGGACTGTTCTAAGTGTTGGGGGTACAAAGATGAATATGTTGTGGGGCTTATATATGAACCAAATAGTTTCCTGACCTTTTGCCTCTCCCTCTCCCTCCCTCTCCCTCTCTCTCTCCCTCTCTCTCCCCCCCTCTGCCCCCCTGTCCCTCTCCCTCTCCCTCTCTCTCTGTCTCTCTTGTTCTCATCCAGAGGTTCCTAAATGTTAGGCTGCTTATATTTTAATCAATTGCCAAGTCCCTGGTCCTAGTCCTGATATTCTGATCAAGTGGCTCTGGGATGGAGTTGGAAATTCTGTAATTAAAAAAAAAAAAGAAGCCTCCTAGGTAGCTTGCTGTGCAGCTGAGTCTGAGAGCCATTATTTCTTATCATTTAGGACTGAAATTGCAGTGGTGTCTGAACCATATGTGGCTGATGGGAGACCCGCATATGGACAAGCTTCATAGGATGTCAAGCAGGAATCTTCTCTTTGCCACATAACTGTTGTTAAGACCCAACCGAAGACAGAGGCACAATGTGTTCCATCCTCTAAATTTAGAGCGGTCAGGGTTAGCCACCCTTCACCGGGCTCGCGAGGCCCATAATTAGAGAATTAGCCCAACCACCCATCACTCTTCCCACCTCCCAAGGGAGGTTGGGGGAGAGGAAGGCAGCCTTTTGGGGAGAGGATTTGCCGAATTTATCCCTTCTCTCAAGTCAAGCACGTGAGGGACAGGAGCTCAAGTAAATCGCTTGACAAGCAAAGTACAGAGACGTTTCGTCCCCTGGCTGCCTGGGCCTCCCGAGCAGCAGGGTCGCCGGTGCGCCTGGGTGCGGCTCGAGTGTCGGGAAGAGACTGAGTGGAGTGGGGCTGGGGGGGCTGCCCTCAGGGTCGGGTGAGGAAGTCCTCGCGTGCCCGGGGCCCTGAGAGCTGCTCTGAGAATCCACGCGTCTGGAGCCAGAACTGTGAGGGTGTTTTCCCCATTGATTTCTAGAGAGAGTGGAAAGGAGGTAGGAAGGGGGGGAGAGAAACATCGCTGTGAGAGAGACACATCAATGGGGTGTCTGCTGCACATGCCCCAACCAGGGCTGGGGGTCACACCTGCAACCAGGTGGGTGCCCTTGACCGGAATCGAACCCCAAACCCTTAGTGGCAAGAGCCAGCACCCTACCCCCTGCGCCTGCACCGGCCAGGGCGTGCGCTGCTTTATGTCGGCGATCACTCTTTAGCTTGTAAGGTCTTAAGGAGAGAGACGATAAATTATTTATTTTGCACACTTCATAACGCAAATCAGAGTGTTTCGTACCTAGCAGGTGACGATAAAGTATTTGTTGAGTGGTGAGCCGAGGAGCTTGGCCTTAATTCAGTTATGGACAGGGAACTCAAACCCCAGCCACGCAACCAAAGCCAGGAGACGGATTCACTAATAGGAAAGAGGGACAGTTTGGAAAGGAGCACTGTGTGCCCAGAATTGTGTTTAGAAAGACGAGTGTGGGGCAGGGCTGCCAGGTCTAGCTCCTTGGCTTGCCCGGCATGGCCCGCATGGTGCCCGCAAAACCCCCACCGCACAGGGTGGGGAGAGTGGAGCTGGCCGGGAGGCCGCTGAGACTGTCGTGGGAGGGGAGGGTGTCTGGGGACAGATACGAGGGCTGGACTTGGGGCTCAGGGTACGAATAGCCCGGGCAGGCACTGCTGACCGGAGGCGGGAGGAGGCCACCCAAAGGATCTCTGCAAGGTTTTAATTCAGATGGCTGCGGAAAAACCATTTCCCCAAAGCTGGGAGGAGGCCGGGCTCACGTGGTGGAGGGAAGGGATCGAGAAAAAGTACATTTAACTTAAACCTGTTCAGTTTACAAGTGGAAATGACAGGTAGATATTCAGAGATCCAGGTTTAGCACCCGGGACGGGTTTGGTTGGCACAGACGCATGAGCTTTTCAGGAAGGACCCTGGGAGGCAGGGGTGAGAAGTTTTTACTGGAATAGACCTGGTTTTCAGCCCAGGGCGAACACACGGGTCTCCGGATGCTGAGTTTGGATCAAGAAACAGAGGCGCTAAATGTATGTAAAGGTTCCCTTAAACAATGGTGCATATAGTTTCAAAATGGTGATGTAAGTCTAGTATAATAGGCGATGGCTGAGCGAGAGCCTCACGCAGTGGGACTGTCCCCGAGTCCCTCACGGTTTCTCCCTCTGTGCAGGAAAGCTCTGGTAAGGCCCTGCTGGCCCCGCTGCATCACTCTTGGCTTCCTCCTGTTGTGTTTTCTTGGATAAACATGTTGGGGACTTAGACTAGAGGGATGTGCTTAGACCAGTGGGGGTGTCTGACCAATCCATAGGCCTTCGGCAATTCTGCAGCGGCGAGCAACAACTATGTATTTACAATAGTAAATAATGAATGAATCTTGAATGAATAGAGATATAGCTGTATTACTAATATCAGCATAAATGTAACAGAGTTGATATTATGGAAATTTAGAAAATTCAGCGTTTCCCATGAGCTTTTAGAGGTCTCGAGGAAGAATTCTATGGGTAAGGAACTTTTGTTAGATGTACATAGAAACTGGAGAACAGCCCAAAGCTTATATAAGGTGTCTCCCCCAAAATGTACACACACACTTTGAATAATTATAAAGGAGGTGTTTATTAAAATGCAGTTCATTTTCAAAATTGAGTGATCAGCTATTAAAGTGTGTATACAATTTTTTGGGACACCCTGTGTTCCCAGGCCTGTCACATTTTCTTTCCTCAGCGCACAAGGTCTTGGCTGCACCGAGTGACAAAACCTGTGCAGCAGGGCTGGGAAATTCCTTCCCATGAGGACAGCATGGACACTGGGACGCCCATGGTGAGCTTTCCCACTGTGAGGAGGGAGGAACAAAGTGGGAAGAGTTGGATAAAAATGTATGTACCGGTGCATAAAACAAAGAAGTCCCCAGAGGTAGAAAAACCAGACGCTAGGGTGTAGCTTCTTCCCCTGTAGGTTACTCCTCCCATCTGCAGTTAGCAATTAACTTTTGATTATCTGAGAACTAAATAAAA